AGACGAGTTTTCCAATTTCAAAATAACAGGAGCACAAATTAATTAATTAATCAGGAACAATAAGCGCTTCTGGTTTTCCCTCATTAAGAAATGCCTTTGCATCTTTAATTATTCAATTACTGCATATTTTTTGATGAAGCAAAATTAAAATAAAAGCCTCAAAAATAAAAGAAAAGAAAAAAAATTCTCTTTGGGCAAGATCAGAAAAAAAGGGAAAAAATCTTCAAATGCTGATTTCTCTGCTTCCGAGCATCCAATTTGTATGATTTTTTCACAGGTCGATAACAAATTTCAGAAAGTTTAACTTTTAATTCCATTTTTTAAAATGGCGGTTTAATAAGTTAGCTTAATTAACAAATTCACATTTGAAATTGATTTTTCTTCAAGAAAAAAGCAAGCTAAATGTTCAAGTCCTTGACAAAAGTTGTAGATTATGATATTTTATATCATAACATCAGACTAAAGCTTAATAAAAATCAATAGATTTAGTTATTTTAACAAAAAATCAACTTGTTGAAAAATTCCTTTTTTAGCAAAAATACCAACTCTAGTTGACCGAAAACAATTTTTAAATAATTAAAAAGTCATTGTGTATTGTAATTGTGTGTTGAAAATGCTTAAAATCGAGTTAAATTAACTTAAAAACATTGTAATTTCAATTGAGCAACAAGTTTTGCTCTGTGTTGCTCGTGATTTCACACAAAATTTGAATTTTTCAAAGCCGTTACAAATATTTTGGTTTAATTATTTAAACTTTTATGATTTTCTTGACTTTCCATAAAGATTTTTAAGGTTTTCTTTTGCAAAAATATGCATCTAATGTATTGTTATAGTTTCAAATTGAGAGATCATTAAAATAATAAAACAGTAATGGTTTAATAGAAGTTTTCTTAAACTCACTGTAACTTTGTTAATTAAAGTAGAATTTAAAATTTTCTTTTATAAACTTAAAGACAGTCATATTTGCTAGCTTTTTTGTATTAAAAGCTAGTTATTAAGATGTTTCATTCATATAGAAATTTCAACCGAAACATTTAAAATATTAATTAATCTAACTTAGAATACCGCCATATTAATAATTTTATGCAAGTAATTCACTATTCTGATAATTTAATAACTCAGTGAAAGAATTTTTAAGATTGGTGAATCAGTTGCAGAGATATTGCATTAGCATCATGGTGTAAAATCGAATTTCCTCAAAATTGTTCGTGACGCTTAGCACTTTAAATTAATTTTTAATTATAATACAATGTCTAAGAGATACTTGTTATACACCAAAATATAGGTCTTGGCAAGGACTTTAAGAAAAACACAAGTCTTAAATACATATTTCGCATTATCGATTCAAAAATTGTAAATTATTGCTCAGCGTCACGAACAATTCATTTTTGATCTTGCCCCTTTGTTTTCCCATAAAAAAGATGAGTTACTGATTGATATAGCAGGCAACACATGTGTATAAAATTGAAAAACTGAATTTATTACGAAAGAAATAATTGTGAAAGAAAGCGTGAAGAACAAAATCAATAGAAATTAATGATTATAGAAGCATATGCTAGTGTTGAACTAAACATTCGGTCATTGTGGAGCCATAAATACAAGAAATTGCTTAAAAAGTAATTAATCTATCAAGGAAGAGGAAAAAATATACAATTTTGCACCTGCTAAAATTTATCAAACAAATACGAAAAAAAAATCTGAAGCAGACCAGCAAGCAGCAATAAACCACAAATAATAAAAAAAATGTTCAGTTTCTTCAGACGAAACAAATCAAAACCGAATCAAAATGAATCTGAAATTCAGACTAATAAAGTCTCGCTTAATATGCAAATGGCAATTGAGAGACAACAAGCCTCTTTACAGCAAGTCTTGGAACAAAAACGAAATAAAAATGATGTCAATGATCGGGAAAATTCTCAACAAAACGTAGAACATCAAAATAATAAAGAGATCAACAATGCGTCTATAAATAGATCCTCGTCAGCATCAGTAGCAGCATCGTCGCCTGTAATTGTAGGTGAGATAAACAACAAGACTAATGTACTTACACCGAATTATTCGTTCTCATATGGCGCACGCGCACAACAAAATTACGATCAGTATCGAGACTCGAAGAGAGTAGCTCCCACAGCATTTGATCATTTATTTGTGAATCGACAAGGGAGTGTACCTAACACAACTCATAACTATTTATCGTCGTCATCTGATATCCCTCACTTGCCAACTGTCGGTGTTGCATCATCGTTGATCAATGATCATCATCATCAACAACAACAAGAGCAGATAGATTTTACAACAGTCACGCAAACTCAAGCTGGCACAAGCTCAAACATTTTGCTCGATGAAGTGATGGGTAGAGGACGTAATAATCGTAATAAAAATCGCGGATCAAATTTTCATATTAATAATAATAATAATTCGAATAATAATAAGAATAATAATGCTGTGAAAAATAATAATAATAATAGTAATAATAACAATAATAATGCCAGTAATAATAGTGATAGAAATAAAGTCGAGTCATGTGTCGTGCCTTCAACTGTTGCAACTATAAACGCAGGAAAATGTGAAAATTCATCAATAAAAAATCAAGAAAATCGTCAAATTCCTCAGCAAAACTATTCTGCAGATGCAGTAAAGAATCATGATTCCGAAAACTTTGCCAGTATTTCGAATGAGAGTGTGCTACACGCGGATGGTGATGATGAGAAGTCGTGTTCTATTTTTAAAGCACAAGTCGTCGCAGACAACACAAACGATAACATAGACGCATCTTGTGGTGATGAGAAAACAGGAATTAAAAATGATAGAAAAGAAAATGATGTAAAGGGTGCTGAGAATGGAAGTAGAACTGGATCTGTTGAGAAGAAACCTGTCAATCAACCAGAGTTTACAAAAAATCTTGCAATTCTTGAGAGAATTCGCTCCAGATCTAACACAAGGTCTCCAATAAGTGAAAATTCTCAGTCTAATAACCCCGAAAAGAAGCAAGACGAGCATCAACAAGTTGGCGAGCCATTACAACGAAATTCATCATCAAAGCGAGTTACATTTGCACCATCGCCAACCCATTTTACACCAGCTGAATCAACAACATTGTGTGACTCATCAAGTAGCGATGAAGACGAGAGCGAAGAAGAAGAGACAATAAGTGATGATATTTTCTATGAAACAACAACGGAAGCACCAAATGATTTACAAAAATTGAAAATTTTATCAACCGTCACATCACATCAGAGCAGTGAATGCAAACGAATTGATGAGGAGACATCCAAAGTTGATGGTAATGCAACTTTAAATGGCGAATGTTTCCCATCAAAAACCTCAACGTCTAACGACGAATGCAATAGTAATAATAATAATAGTGGCAATAACAATGATGTGGTTTGTGCAAAAATAATTTTAAGTGTTAATGAAAATGAGACAATTAAGAGTGATAATAATAACAATGAAACAGTCGATATTCAAAATGAGAATGCATTTAGCAACACGAGTAGCAGTACCAGCAGCGGCATTGGGACAAACCCATCGAGTAGTGAAGAAAATAGCATTTCAAATGATGACGATGAGGTCATTAAAAATGATTTGCCAAAAACAATTAAGCCATCATATAAACTCGTCGGTGATGATGCACTCGTTGCACTACCTGATATTGTAGCACTGCCCGATATTCTACTTGAGCAACAACAACAGCATATGGACGTTGATGATGTGTAATATAAATAGTTTATTTTATATTTATTGCCATTTACTTTAAGTATTATGGGGAATTATTAATATTATGATTATGATTATTGCGTACGGTTCATTTACACTATTCATGGTGTAGGGTTACAATTTGTTGGATCATTCGGTTTCATAGCTTTTCGTGAGGTGACTTCAAATGAGTCTTGCATACAAAATTGATTATCAATCTACTGAAATAATTTTAAGATGAAATTCTCAAATAGTTTCGTTTTGGCTCTTGAGATGGAGTTTAAAGCATGTCTCTTCAGGCGCTCAATAATGTTATGCAAGTGCTAAGTTTCAGAAAAGTAACACTTGCCACACATCATCTGTCGATTCATTAGTTTTCAAGAAATCATGTCTACTGCAGGCTTATTGTGAAATTCTGCATTGTTGTTTGGCTATTTATCTTATTGTGGATTAGTGACTTAAGGGATTTTCTTCAAAGTTTGACATTTTTTGGTCTGCTCAAGAAAATCTTTACTAGACATGCAACTTTGTTTTCTCCTCAAGTGCTATTTTCAAAATCATCCAGCACCTCCATTAAGTTGTCACTACTCTTATTTTTAACAATTTTCAAAACAAATTTTATTTTTAAATTAAAACATGAGCGATGACAGCTTTTTCCCAATTGTTATTCTCCAGAACAGAAATCAATGTTTACAAAAAAACTTTAGCTGAACTTATTTGCGTATGTGTCACCTACAATCTACATTTTTATGTGCGTCAGACGCTGCCAACTTTTTTTCGTACACTGGAAAAGTTCCGTTTTTAAATTTATTTTTAATTTGTTTTTGCAAAATTAATAATTCAAGTTTAAAGGAAGTATGGAGGTCGAAAAATTTTATTTTTCCATGTTGCAAAAAAAATTGTTTTTACGGAGCTTAAATAATTTTATTCGAATGAGAATTTTCAGTTGTAGACTCTGCTGTCCACTGTCGTTGGTTTATTTATAAACTTTATTTGAAATTTTCCAGTAAACACACTTGATTCAATTTACATTTTCCATCATCATATTGAGTAGATTATTGAGATGCTGTGAGTTGGTTAATTATGGGAATTTTGTCGGATTTGAATCTAGTCAAATTTATACAAAACTAGTTCTTCAAAATTGACAATAAATTATGAAAATCCAAACCAAACATCAAAAGTAAAAATTCTGACGAAATTCATCGCAAGGATGATCAATAACCATTAAATACATCTCAATAAAAACTCAATCGTTAAACATTAAAACCACAATTTCATTACTTTTTCATTTCCATCATTTACAGGGCAAACATGGTAAGCCACGCGAGCAGCTTTGGACAGCAACATGGAAACTCAATGACATCAAACCAGTCAGAAATTGTAGATCAAATGCAGGTGAAAGTTAATGAATTATGCATGAAAATAGATGTACTGGAACAGGAATTGGAAAGGAAAATCGGAGCTGTCGACCGTAAGTTAAAAAATTTACACCTAATTAAATTCATTCACTTTAAAGTCAAAGACTCTCGAAAATTTATTCACTACGTCTATTTTTTGTAATCTAAATTTAAATTTTCTATCGTGATTGATTTTTAGTCGTTGTTGTCGATACAAAGAAAATTCTATTGCTATAGCGACGCAAGCTCTTCTTATTTCGTTTCTCGTTAAAAATAAATGAAGAATAGAAAAGAAAAAACAAAAGAAAAATGCAGATCAAAAGTCAATTTGGATTCATTCATACGAAAAAAACGCATTTTATGGTCAATGAACGCGAAGTTTGATGAGATTTGAGTCTAAATTTGGATGTATTGATGCGATTTAAGGTTATTGTTTTAAAGTTTTTAAAGAAGCTACAGTTAATTGAATTTTTTCAATAAATACAAAACAAAATGGTGGATTTATGTCACTTCAAAAAGTTTTTATCAAAATTCGGAGTCTAATTGCTGATTTAAGAAACAAAAGCTATATTATCATATGTTAAAAAGTAGCAAAAGTTAGAATTTCATGCTCAGATACAAGAGAAAATGAATTAATCCAAGAAACTTAAAAAATTGTATATTCTGCTAGACAATAAAATCGCATGATAGCTAGAAAAAAAGCTAACAAGAATTTTTCATTCATTTACGCTGATTTCGAAATCAACTCTTCTTATTCCTCCTTATTTCAATGCCATTACTTGATTATTGATTTTACTCGATTTAGTAAATAGAAAAGCATCATTGACAAAAGCGAAAAAGCTTCATTGTGTATTTCACATTGTTAACGCGGATTATAGGAAAAAGAGCGACAAACGAGAAAAAATTGTGAAGATACATTGATAAAGCAAACAAAACTTTTTTTTAATGAATTAATTAATAAGCAATTTTCATTCAAACATTATTGAAGCGTAGATAATTTTGTCGAATGTGTGAATTTGAACAGCGAATTAAAACTTTTTCTTCGACTTTTTTTTTCATTTCACGTCGTCATCGAACCCATTCTATCTCTTTCTCCCGACTTTCCTAGACAATTAAATGATAAATTCAATCAAAAAGTCGATGGGTTCGAACGAGAGTCGAGATTCTGTGACAAGTATTTTTTTTAAATTTCTTATTGACATAATTTTTCATCTCATTCATTTCTTACTTGTTATTATCTTGACTATATTCAATGTATCACAACGCACATTGGCACATTATTCAACCAAAAAAGGCCTTCAATCGGAATTAGAGTCGGCCAACAAGGAAGGAGATTGTGTACGACAGAGATTGAGATATCAAAATGAGCAGTTGGAAAGAGTCAGAGAAAAGCACGATACAGATTTTACTGATGAGCACAAGAAATATGGTGAGTTGATTTATCATGATAAATATTTATTTTGTTATCATAATAATTTTAGTAAATGCGCATCGAAAGCCAATGAGATGATATAGAAGGATTTGTAAATAGTTTAAACAGTTTATTTAAAGAAGAGATTTACTATTCAATAAATTAGAGAAAATAATGAAGAGAAAATAAATATTTGAGTGAGTTTGGACTAATTTGACAGAGAAAAGTTATGAACCAGAATTGCCATAAATTTTCGGTATCTGTGTTGAATTATTGAGCTAAATTGAACTTAATAAATTCTATCACTTTAAATTTGAAAATATCAAGCAACTTAGATATATAATTGGTTTTTTAGATTAGTTTTAAGCTTAATTAGATTCTTAGACTCAGCTTAGTAAACTATTTTTGATGCAACAGAATAGACTCTGTATAATGAAAACAAAATAAATAAATCACCCATAATAAATTCACCTCAAATATAATACCCAAGCTGAAATTCTACCTTAAGCTGACAAAAGACTTCTAAAAGTCTCCCGAAAAAAATAAACTAACAAGACAACCATTAAAGAAATGATAAATCTATGATAATATATTCATGACATAAATTCTTCTTTCTTTTCCGCATTCTTTTTTTTATGTCCACTCGCATATATACAGTAAATTTGGAGAAGCAATATAAAGATAGTGTAGCGAAGCTACAAAAAATGCAGAATCTAGCAAGTAATCTAAATGTCCAATTAGCTCAAACCTCTGTGGACATTGAGAAGCTTAGACAAGAGCGTGATGAGCTTTTGGATAAGTTGACCGTACAGGAGAAGCTTCTACGTGATATTCTTGAGACGGCAATGGAGGAACGTGAGCAAATAGCATCAAAATGGAAACATGAATTTGAACAATTGCGCAACGTTAATTGTTCTCGGGAAGAAACTCTTATGGAGGATTGTGAATGGAAATTACGGCAAATGATGAAGCAGTGCAAGGAAAAAATTGAAAAGATTGAAAAAGAAAAACTTTCATTGAAGGATCAAGCGCAAATTGATAGGCAAACAATACGATCTCAACGTGATGAAATTAGAAGCTTAAAGGCTGCAGAAAAAGAAGCAAATCAATTGAGGGGACTCACGAATGATCAAAAAGATTCAATGACGACAATGAAAAAGAATATTGATGATTTAAAACATGAATTAGAAACTACCAAGAAGAAATTACAAACCGAAATCGATAGTTGTCTGCAAATAAAGCGAGATTGTTCATAGTAAGTGACAATGTAGATATGTCAAGGGATGGGAAGACTTATGACTACTTCCTATATTTTAGAATCCAATTTTCATACCTTTTCCACTTATTGTTCCACTCCAATATCTTCAATCATCTGTTGCGCAGTTTTGTAATAATTTTTACCTGCCCAAATCCTTTTCTATTCAATTCTTTGAATTAGATAATCTTCAAAATACCCACTCGACCTACTCTTTTGAATCTTCCACACTTTTTATTCTTATCAAACAATTACCTTTTATCCATCCCTTGACTCAATTGTACTTGAATTTCATTTCACTATTATTATTGCCATCATTCGAATATGAAAATTTTATTATGTATTGTTATTCGTTCCAGCCAATTGAGTGAACGAGAGCGTTCAGCTGCGAATCGAATAGAAATAGCTCGTGGTGAGGTTGCCATGGAATGGGAGAGTAGATTAATGGAGGAAATGAATCGATTGAAAATGGAACTTGAGCAATGTCATTTAGACGATCGTAATGTAGCTTTAAATGAATTAAAAGGCCAACATCTTTTGGAGAATCAAGCAATGTTGACTAAATATAAGCGACGAGAGGAGCAATTTGGGGAAGAAGTAAGTAAATCCAATTTCTATGTGTGTCTAGGCACGAAGGTATTACTTTTCTTAATACTCAATCTATTTCCTTTTTTTATTTATTCCATTGTTTTTGTGTGATATTGATTGGGGTTTCTGATTGTCGGTTTAAGGAGTAGGCCAGAAACCCCAAATTCCCAAAATTGCGATAAATAAAATCCACATAACTACATACTTAATATTTTTGTATTTCTAGATTGCAACACTCAAAGCACAATTAGGTCTAAAGCAAGAAGATTTAGTGGCTTTAGAGTCGAAGGCCGATATGCAATTGGCGGAACATCGAGCATATATAGAACGCAGAGAGAGGGATCATCAAAAAGAATTGGACAAGCTGCAAATGGAACTTGAGCGGCAGCTGCGACTTCACTCAGATTTAATTGGTAAGATTATTACATTAGATGTAGAAGTAATGGAGATGGAAATGGTATATAAAAAAAAAGCATCTCGAGAATGAGCGAATAGAGAAACAGAAAAATATAAAACATAAAAATCTTAATTAAATGCTTATTTGACATTGCAGAGGAAATTAAAGACGAACACAAACGTGAAAAGGAGCAAATTAAAGCGAGCTTTTATAGATCCCTGGAACAAATTAAGGAAGAGTTTGCGAACGAAATTACTTTAGCAACGGAAACACTGCAAGCGAAGCACAAAAAGGAGATGGGTATGAATTTATACTTTTTAAGAACTTTTGATTATAAATTATATCACCATATAATTTTTTGCTCATTCCATCCTCATTTACACACTACGTACTGGCACAGAAGAGCAATATTTTTTCTTCTGAAGAACTTTTTTAAAGGAAATAAGTTATGTTGAGCTATTCAGTTTGGGTTGATGAAAAATTTTAAACCAAATTTCTAAAATTGTTAAGAAAATTAAAGTTTTGTGAAATGGTTTGATGCAAGATGAACTTGTGCCACTTTTTTACAGCCTATTTTGTATGATTTATAAACTTTAATGGCTCTTAAACAAATAATTTTTAGTAAAAACATTTTAAAGTGAGGAAAAAAAATTCAAAAGTGGTGGATTGAGTCTTGGGTAGAATGGATTGCGTCTTCACTATAATCCAAATTTTAAATAATTGTTCAAAAATCTTCCGTAAAAGTTCTTTAAAATAAATTTGCGCGTTGAACTTTTCTTATAATAATGTTTTTTCAACTCTCTTTCTTTCACAAAAACAAACAACAAAAACACACACGAAAACAATTCTGTAGAAGAGCAATGGAAACAGTTGGTACATGAGAAAGAAAGTGCCTTACACGTTGCTGAAAATAGGCTCAGAATAAAGATGGAGGATGCAGATAATAAATTGAGGTAAGAAAAACTTTTTCTTTTATTTTTTTTCTGTTCCCCTTCTGTCCCACGTTTCATGCTCGCCCTCTCCCCTCTTTTTAAAAGTAAAATTTTTATTTGTTCAAGGTAGAAACTGTAGTGTAGAAGTAATGCCGTAAGATTTAAATTAAAGTATTTTCATGCCTATTTGTTCCTTAGATCAATCTTACTAACTGGTAGAGTAGACCGCCCTAAGTATTAATAGAAAATTCTTAGTAAATTCTTTTGTCGTAAATAAAAAATTTCTATATTTACTTTTTCCTTCCTTAATTTCCTTTCATCTCTATCTTTTTTGTTTACCATTGTCATGATTCCTACAAAGCCGACTTATATAGAATTTTATGGGATGATCTTTGTTTGAGGATATTACAGGGAAAGTCTGGGGAAATTCCTTCGTTTATGTACATTAAGCTTTTGAAGAAGATCAAGCTAATATTAGTTGAGCTGAATAAATCAGTAGAATGAAGATTCCAGTTTTATAGACATAGTTATAATGATGAATTTTTGATGAAGTTTCAAAGACATTTGGTCACATGATTGCACTCTTTAATTATTTTGCCAATTTTTTAAATCATTTGAAACAATTTTTATGTTTTTAAACTTTTTATTTTGAAAATAAATTCAAAATAACTTTTCGAGATGACATAAAAATTTCAAAATGGCGAATTGTGTCTTGAATAGTGTCTTTACTCTTTGAAAAAAAGTTACATTTTTAACCAAAATCCACATAAAAACCTCTAAACTCCCTCTAAACTCCCTCACAACTCGGCCATCCATACCAACAATATCTTTTCTTTCTGTTTTCTTTCATATCATCTACACAAAAATCACTTAATGTTATTGTGTGTACAGTTCTGTTAAGACAAATCATCAACGACATATTAAAGATTTAAAAGATCAATTCGATATTGAAAGAAGCCGACTGGAGACACGCGATGCAACAAATGCAGGTGAAATTAGCACATTACACAGAAAATGCATTTGCCTTACAAAGCTGTAAGTATTTTACAACATCTGGTTCCCTTTTAACAACTCAGAAAATCAGATAATAATAACAGAATAATGAAAATTTTAATAATATCCCTTTTGTTTTCAATTGTACTGATATATTTAACTTAATTTACGTTCTATTTTCGTTTTGTGTATTAATGACTTGTCATTTATATTTTCATACTGATATTCGCACCGTGATTTATGAGTTTTGAATGGATTTTAGTCACATGTGTCAAGTTAATCGAGACATTTGACTAATGCAAATTAAGTACTTGCGCTTAACATTCCGAGGAGATGTTTTTGCACTTACTCAATTGACAAAATGAAAATTCTTTTTGTGTCAATCAAATGACATAAAACTAAGTCAAGCACGGTGTGAATGTCAATATACAACTCTTCCACAACTGTCTTCTCATCTCATTAATCTTTATTTCTGTTGTATCTTTCAGTTTTGAGGAAATGCGAATAAGATACGAACGAAGAGATCCAAGGCCTGAAGATATTCGACGAATTGATGAGCTCAAAACTGTTGTTGACTCACAAGAGCAAGACATTTATCATTTAACGGAGCAATTACGTGAATTACAACTTCAATTACAAGAACAACAACAACAACAGATGCAGAATCAGCAAAATAATCAAATAAATCAACAAAATTCCAATCAATCAAATAAGAATCGTAATCGAGGGAAGAATACTAAAAATAATCGAGGTAATAACAATGGAAATTTAAATAATGCTCAACAAATGAATCAAAATCAACAGCAGCAACAGCCACAAAATAATACAAACGATAGTGAGCAGCAACACCTAGAAAATGAACTACCAACACCACCTTCATCAACGACAATAAGTCCACAACGAATGAGACCTCCACCCCTCATAAAAACCGTGATATATGAAGAGGAAAATGAAAATGAACTGTATGAGGAGCAGTTGCGCGAGGAACGGGAACGTCATAGTGAATCAATTCCAATTCCACACCATAATTTCACAGTTGAACTTGTACCAGAAAGTCCTGATTATTTGAAGCATAATAATGGTAATTCAGAGGAAATTTCTGAAGCACTTATTGTACACGAACATGAAATTATGAATCAACGTGTAATTCCATCGCCGACTCCAGACGATTTAAAAAATCAGGAAATTGCCATTGAAATTATTTCTACAATTGAGCCATCACACTTTCAAATTATACCTGTGGAAAATGGACTCGATCTCGAACTTGATTAAGATTTCTACAGTTGGTTCCTATTTTATGTCTTTTTTGGTTTTTATTAAATTTTTTTTGTCACTTAATTTATTTTCCGATTCACTGAATTCTTATTTAAATTTGTCGTAGAATTATTTAAAGAAATTGATGAAAAATGTTTAAGTTAGTGATTCTATTCTGTAACTTGTTTGCTGTCGACTCTCTTTTTGTGGTCACTTTGGTGGATTTTGTGAGGGACTCGTACGAGATTAGATTAAGGAAAAATTAGAAAATTTGTCACAATATCATCATTTTGTAGATTATAAAATAGTTTTCAAAAATATCCACGAAAAGCACTTCAATAGTCAAACCCACAAAGCTGAAATTCATACGAAAAAATTCATATGAATAATATCAGAATATGTCACGAGTTTACAAGTATATTGAACCGCAGCTTTTATTTATAGACAAGAGTCGTAGTGAAACTTAATATTCAATATTTAACAACACAGTTCAACTGAGATTTCATAATATTAAACTAATTATAAGAGTTGCTAATACACAGCATCTGCAAGCAAGCATATATCATATTATATCTCGAATGTGTGGAAGTTTTTGAGCTTGCTTCCAAGGATACAGCTAATTTACAGCAACGTCTGTACCAAACACTTTTAAAACTTTCATTTAAAAAACCACAATTTCTTGAGGAAATTTAAGTTTCACACACAAAACTTGAGGTGATCCTTTAAAGATGAGTCGATGGTGCTTAATTTTATTATGTCTTATGCTGGCTGTTTCTTCCCAACTTGCAGTTTTCTTATTACTATTATTATTAACTACCTTTTTGTATCTCGACTTATAGAAAATTTTTGTATGATATTGAACTTAAAATTGTTATTGAAAAAATGATGACTTTAAAGGAATAATAAAGTAAAAAATTGAAATATATTTAAATTAACTGTATTTTGGATAAGGTTCGAGTTTTGAAGAAGAAAACATTTTAATCTCAAAATTTTGAAAGAGAATTTAATTTAAAATCATTTCTAAGACCTAAATCCAATCATTAATAATTCAAAATTAAAAAGATCCATCCACTTTAATTCATCTCATCCCTCAGACCTTCATCCACATGTTTTTATTCTTGTTTTAAAGAAAATAATAAATCATCAAAGAGACTAAAAGATGACGACACTAAATTGGCCAATTAAAAATTAAATGGTTTCTTCATTTATCCCCGGAAAAAAAGATAAATTTCTCCATGTGCGGTAGGAAAATAAGTTATCTTGAACAATAATACACATACAATAATGTAAAATGAGAGTCAGTTTTCTCGTATTTAAGGGAAGTAAGTCAAATGAAAAATGAATGAGATTTGGGTGGATGCTTTTGTCTCGTGGGGATTGAGACGCATTTTTCAAGTTCTAAGAATTTTCTGGGTAAGTTTGAACTTTTTTTCCTGGATGCAAGTCACAGGACATACCTAATACTTAAACTTGGATACTTTAGCTTTGTTGACCTTTTATAAAAATGGTGTGACAGCAAGTTGCAATCTATAACCTAGAAAATTGTTCATTCTATGTGAAATAAAAACCAACTCACATCCCAGTCATAACAAACTCCAAACTGCTGCATCTTCCTACCAAAACCCAGCACAACCGAAATAAAAATTTAAAGAGTATAACAAATACACAAAAACAGCATGTTTACAGCTTCTCAGATTCGACCCCATTGCCATCTTTTGTCTCAACATTTCTTTTCTTCGTTTTTTGTGGTATTTTATTCTTTTTATATCGTAATTAACTTGACGCCATCTCTATCTATATATAATATTGGAACGATGTAGAATGAAAAAAAAAATTGTATAAATTCATCCATCTCGGCGGAATATACACACAGAAGATGAACAATAAGGCACATTCCGGGGGACCTATTAACAATATCTTTGAAACTGAATAAAAAAAAAGTCACGCGATGAAAAAACAAAACAACAATGAAAGAGGATGGAAGAAATTTGTTCATTTTCTATTATTTCGAGTTGGAAATTAGGAGCACGATTTGACAATAGGACGCGACATAGAAGAGAATATGAATAGTAATTGTGTTATGAGTTGTAGAATTCTAGAGAATTTTTTTTGTTTATAGAAGTGATTATTGAAAGAAATAGAGTGGAAAATTTCAAGGGCAAGTTATATTTTGTGATTTTTAGTCTTATTAAGGTTAAGTAAGGTTTAAGGCGTCCTAATGGTTTTTGATAAAGCTTATTGAATTTTATTTTGGAGATCTGAAAAGCAGATAGGTACTTGATTACTAAAATATCACGCGACTAAGCATATATTAAAGGTTTGTCACACCATTCTCCATAATTAAGACTTAAAACCCAACCCTGAGCAATCCCATTGCGATTATAATAATGCGTTCTGTATAGAAAAACATAAATGTGTTAAATTTTTCAGACGTAGTTCTTACAACATGAATAACATGCCATAAAGTTTCCGTCATACAAAACTCTCAGCATCCACTCGCCTATACCAAGAATAATTCTTACACTCATTTTAACTGCCGCTGTGCGTAACTTTTTTTTCGGCTCATATATTTTCTCAGCTTTCAAACAATTGACATGCAATGTAATTTATTCGCTTTTATTTCATCTCTTCTTTTTTCCAGCTTTTATTCGCTGTATAACTTTTGTCTCCATACGAGAGTGTTTGTGCAACCCAGTGAAATTGTAAACGAGAAAAAAAAGCAATAAAGCAGTGCTTGAAGGATATAATCTCTTTCTTCGACTTCTCCTTTTTCTTCTATTCTTTTTTATTTGTAAGGGAAAATTAGATGGGATGGAAGAAGGCAAAAAAAGATTTTTTTAAACTTTTTATTATGTCGACCGCAAGAATTTCTTTCTCTCTCGTATTTTATTACGAAATTGACTTTTCATTTGCCGTAAATGATGAGAAATTTTTCAATCTTTTACTTTTTTGGTGTGGATATTAAGGTATTGAAGTAATCTTGTCGATAATAATAATAATAATAATCTTGTCGAGTAAATTGAATAACGCATTTTTTTAAAGAAATGAAATTAGATTTCATTAGTTTTCATATGATTAGTAAAGTGATGATGATCATAGGGCAATAAATTGGAAAAGCTTTTTACAAAAAGCATTTAATCATGTTTAGGGAGTTTTTAAAGAGCGAGACGTTTGCTTTTTATGATCTCTATTGTGGAACCTTATTCAAAACTGGCAATTTGCAGGCGTTTTATTGATTCAATAATTGAACTTAAGATTTTGAAGATCTATTAAGTCTTTCGGTGATGAATTGCCAACTTCATAATCGACAAACTAGTGTTACAAATTCTTAAGAATTGAAACTTACTTGTTAGGTCCAAAGATACTCAAGATCCATCCAAAATACTAAAAACAATACAAATACCTCTTCATAATGATTTAAGCAGAGATAAAATTTAAAAGTAACAGATAATCCTCAGAACTGTTAGTCAACATAAAAACCTATCCCCCAATTTGATTTTTATCATCCTAAACTGCGACAAAAAGAAATGAAAAGTTTTTTTTATTACTATACAATCATAAAGAAATTAATCTGGTTCGATAATTTAAACATAATTGCTAATTCAAAAGTTTAATCAAAGCCAAATATTTAAGATTGTGTAAAATGCTGTTGGCAAGATTGAAATAAAAAAATGAAGGAGAAATGTAAAGAAAGGAATGATTCCCTTGAATTTACTTATTCTCTTTACTTTTCAAATATTTTTAGAAGATTAAATGGAAATGCATGGAATTCATCACGAGAGATTTTTCCAACTGATAGCTATGCTTATGATATTCATCCTTAAAGATTTGTACAGAAAAAAAAGTTAAACAATAGAAAATGAAGTCAAATACGTTGAATTTAATGAATATTTTGACTGCTAAAATGAGGGTTTGATGACAGCGGTATTATGATGAATTTACAAGGCAGTTGTTCATGTTTAAGTTTGAAATAATGAAGCAAGAAAAGTAATAAGTAGATCAACGATTCAGTCATAAAAGTTTTGAGTTTAAAAATAGAAACTTCAGCACTTCCTTTGAGATCTTTTTTAAAAATAAATTCAAAGTTCTTTGGAAAGCTTAAAATTCCATCTCAAAATCAGCATGAATTCCCAAAAGTAATTCTTCAAATGTTTCATGAATTTACCCAAAAACTTACTCAACCACAAGATATTTGATATTTAAGTGGCAAAATGAAAGTTTTCTTTATCCTTTTGAAGGAAAAGCGATTACAATTAATCATTGTGACACTCAAGCGACGACAGTTTTTTCCCCTTTTCTCTCTCGGTTCTTATCCTTCCAGACATTTTCTGTTTAGTGCGGATTCAGACGATGTGGTTGAGAATGGAAACATTCGTTTTCTTTCTGTTATTAAATTAAGAACAATTTTTTTCTTAAAATTTTTTTGAAATATTTTGCATATATTCACATGCATCACAGGGGTGGGCATAATGCACTTTATGTGATATTCGCTGACACTTGCAGCTGAGTTGATGAATATTTATGGATTATGAACATTGAGTCTCTTAGTTTAAGCTTTGTCCAAGTCAATGCTAGCTTAATCACCATTCTTAATAAGCCCAAGACATTAACCAACATGATCCACCTTTGATTCTTAACTACAATCAACACTTTTAACTCACCCCTTGCCTCACATCGACACATGCACATGCAAGACAACTTTTACATTACCCAGAGCAAAAGAAGCAAAAGAATAAGTTGCATAAAATATAAATTTGTGTGCGGATAAAAAGAACAGATATTTAAATTTGCACTAAATGCTGTTTGAACTTTTCTGAGATGTATATTTTTTGGTATAAGGCAGAAAGCAGAGATAGAAACTAAGTACACAATCTAATTGGATTAAGCGGTTTTCATAATCTTTCTACTTATGTATGAAGTATAAAGAGAGGCTGCATTAATTTTAAAAAATCAACTTTTTTCAGCTTCTTCTGCTTCTTTATCATCATGCAGATCACATTTTGTCTCGTTTATAATGC